GGAGAAGAGGCAGATGTGGGGTTAGAGGAGCATCTCTCTAGTTGGCTCCTGGAGGCAGGAAGTGTGAGCATCCAGCTGGGAGCGCTCCACAGCCCCACCTCGGGATACCCCCCCTCTACGGTTGAGTCGGGCGTGTCCCTCTACAGGAGGAGTATTCAGAAATAGGAAAAAATAGTCTAGGGACGATGTTTTGACTAGTGCTTGACAGTGTTTGAATCTCTTTTGAATGCTTCATTTTTCACCCAAAATCCGCCTGTAGGGGGTGCACGGTTTCCCCCGGGGCCGTAGGCGACCCGAGGAGGCGGAGGAGGAGGAGGAGGAGGAGGAGGAGGAGGGGGAGGAGGAGGGGGAGGAGGAGGGGGAGGAGGAAATGGAGGAGTAGGAGTAGGAGTAGGAGTAGGAGTAGGAGTAGGAGTAGGAGTCAAGCTAGCCAGCTCGAGCGAGTCAAGCATTGCATGCCCAGTCCCACCCGCCCTCCCACAACAAAAGAAGCAAAGCTGGCACAACTGGGGGCCGAAGTCACACCGGCCAGCCGGTTTGGTACAGCTGATGCGGCCGCGATGGCGGTTGCCGACGGGAACTGGCGAGCGCGTGTTGAATGCCGCGCACGCATTGCCAGACGAGTCGAGAATGGCCCGGTACACCGCAGGAAGCCAGAGGTGGCCGGAGGAAGCCCGACGGTCTGACAGGACACCCCAAAGCATTTTTGTGAAAAAGCATTGGGTTTTTGATGTTTTTATGTTGAAATGCTTGCAAACACACGGTGTTCGGTAGGATTCTGACATGAACGCGCGAGTGTGCTCTTTGTGGCATTTTTTGCACAGGATTCGCGGCCTGGGTCCATGACAGAGCATCGCGAGTGCACCGCGCGATGACGTGAAATCGCTGGATTTGACCGAATTCTTAAGATTCCTATGGTTTTCCTATGATTTCAGCAAGAGAGCCCGGGCGGGAAATTTGTACAATTTTTGTGAAAAAAACATTGGGTTTTTGATGTTTTTATGTTGAAATGCTTGCAAACACACGGTGTTCGGTAGGATTCTGACATGAACGCGCGCGTGTGCTCTTTGTGGTATTTTTTGCAATGGATTATCGCCGTGGACGACAGGACGTCCATGTCGAGAGGAAAAAATAAGAAAAATGTTGATTTTGTATTGTTTTTTACAGGTTAGGATGGGACCACCCGGATGCGGCCCCTATCTGCCGGCCTGAGGGGGGAGTAGGAGTATATTCTAATAAGGAATAAGGAGTAGGAGTAGGAGTAGGAGTCAAGCTAGCCAGCTCGAGCGAGTCAAGCATGGCATGCCCAGTCCCACCCGCCCTCCCACAACATAAGAAGCAAAGCTGGCACAACTGGGGGCCGAAGTCACACCGGCCAGCCGGTTTGGTACAGCTGATGCGGCCGCGATGGCGGTTGCCGACGGGAACTGGCGAGCGCGTGTTGAATGCCGCGCACGCATTGCCAGACGAGTCGAGAATGGCCCGGTACACCGCAGGAAGCCAGAGGTGGCCGTGTCGAGAACGGCCCGGTAAGCCGGGTCCCATTCCTGCCATGCATTTTGCGACGTGGACGACAGGACGTCCATGCGACGGTGCCAATGACGGCGACGACTCTAGAAGGATTTGAGCATGCGCTCGCGGCGACGCGCGCGCAATTCGCCCGCGTGGTATTTTTTGCACAGGATTCGCGGCCTGGGTGCATGACAGAGCATCGCGAGTGCACCGCGCGATGACGTGAAATCGCTGGATTTGACCGAATTCTTAAGATTCCTATGGTTTTCCTATGATTTCAGCAAGAGAGCCCGGGCAGGAAATTTGTAGTTTTTTTGTGAAAAAGCATTGGGTTTTTGATGTTTTTATGTTGAAATGCTTGCAAACACACGGTGTTCGGTAGGATTCTGACATGAACGCGCGCGTGTGCTCTTTGTGGTATTTTTTGCAATGGATTATCGCCGTGGACGACAGGACGTCCATGTCGAGAGGAAAAAATAAGAAAAATGTTGATTTTGTATTGTTTTTTACAGGTTAGGATGGGACCACCCGGATGGGCCCCTATCTGCCGGCCTGAGGGGGGAGTAGGAGTATATTCTAATAAGGAATAAGGAGTAGGAGTAGGAGTCAAGCTAGCCAGCTCGAGCGAGTCAAGCATGGCATGCCCAGTCCCACCCGCCCTCCCACAACATAAGAAGCAAAGCTGGCACAACTGGGGGCCGAAGTCACACCGGCCAGCCGGTTTGGTACAGCTGATGCGGCCGCGATGGCGGTTGCCGACGGGAACTGGCGAGCGCGTGTTGAATGCCGCGCACGCATTGCCAGACGAGTCGAGAATGGCCCGGTACACCGCAGGAAGCCAGAGGTGGCCGGAGGAAGCCCGACGGTCTGACAGGACACCCCAAGGGGGCCCAGGAGGCCCCAAGAGGCAGGAGTAGTAGTACCAGTGGTAGTGGTGTTGGTAGTGGTAGTGGGTAGTAGTAGTAGTAACAGAAAAATAGTGCTATGACAAGTACTTGCAGTACTAGTAGTAGTAGTAGTATTAGTAGTAGTAGTAGTAGTAGTAGTAGTAGTAGTAGTAGTAGTAGTAGTAGTAGTAGTAGTAGTAGTAGTAGTTAGTAGTAGTAGTAGTTAGTAGTAGTAGTAGTAGTAGTAGTAGTAGTAGTAGTAGTAGTAGTAGTAGTAGTAGTAGTAGTAGTAGTAGTAGTAGTAGTAGTAGTAGTAGTAGTAGTAGTAGTAGTAGTAGTAGTAGTAGTAGTAGTAGTAGTAGTAGTAGTAGTAGTAGGTAGTAGTAGTAGTGGTGGTGATAGTAGTAGTAGTAGCGCGGCGCCGAGGCGAGAGCGACATGTCACCCCTTCGCGCGGGGTGTGCGCCGCGTCCCATTCCTGCCACGCATTTTGCGACGTGACGACAGCACGACCATGTTGACAAGAAAAACAAAAACTGTGTATTGTCTTTTGCAGATTAGAATGGGACGGATTGGATGGGCGGGCGCGGGGTGTGCGCCGCGTCCCATTCCTGCCATGCATTTTGCGACGTGGACGACAGGACGTCCATGCGACGGTGCCAATGACGGCGACGACTCTAGAAGGATTTGAGCATGCGCTCGCGGCGACGCGCGCGCATGTCGCCCGCGTGGTATTTTTTGCACAGGATTCGCGGCCTGGGTGCATGACAGAGCATCGCGAGTGCACCGCGCGATGACGTGAAATCGCTGGATTTGACAGAATTCTTAAGATTCCTATGGTTTTCCTATGATTTCAGCAAGAGAGCCCGGGCAGGAAATTTGTAGAATGTTTGTGAAAAAAAGCATTGGGTTTTTGATGTTTTTATGTTGAAATGCTTGCAAACACACGGTGTTCGGTAGGATTCTGACATGAACGCGCGCGTGTGCTGTTTGTGGTATTTTTTGCAATGGGTTATCGCCGTGGACGACAGGACGTCCATGTCGAGAGGAAAAAATAAGACAAATGTTGATTTTGTATTGTTTTTTACAGGTTAGGATGGGACCACCCGGATGGGCCCCTATCTGCCGGCCTGAGGGGGGAGTAGGAGTATATTCTAATAAGGAATAAGGATAGGAGTAGGAGTAGGAGTCAAGCTAGCCAGCTCGAGCGAGTCAAGCATGGCATGCCCAGTCCCACCCGCCCTCCCACAACGTAAGAAGCAAAGCTGGCACAACTGGGGGCCGAAGTCACACCGGCCAGCCGGTTTGGTACAGCTGATGCGGCCGCGATGGCGGTTGCCGACGGGAACTGGCGAGCGCGTGTTGAATGCCGCGCACGCATTGCCAGACGAGTCGAGAATGGCCCGGTACACCGCAGGAAGCCAGAGGTGGCCGGAGGAAGCCCGACGGTCTGACAGGACACCCCAAGGGGGCCCAGGAGGCCCCAAGAGGCAGGAGTAGTAGTACCAGTGGTAGTGGTGTTGGTAGTGGTAGTGGTAGTAGTAGTACCATGTCACCCCTTCGCGCGGGGTGTGCGCCGCGTCCCATTCCTGCCACGCATTTTGCGACGTGACGACAGCACGACCATGTTGACAAGAAAAACAAAACTGTGTATTGTCTTTTGCAGATTAGAATGGGACGGATTGGATGGGCGGGCGCGGGGTGTGCGCCGCGTCCCATTCCTGCCATGCATTTTGCGACGTGGACGACAGGACGTCCATGCGACGGTGCCAATGACGGCGACGACTCTAGAAGGATTTGAGCATGCGCTCGCGGCGACGCGCGCGCATGTCGCCCGCGTGGTATTTTTGCACAGGATTCGCGGCCTGGGTGCATGACAGAGCATCGCGAGTGCACCGCGCGATGACGTGAAATCGCTGGATTTGACCGAATTCTTAAGATTCCTATGGTTTTCCTATGATTTCAGCAAGAGAGCCCGGGCAGGAAATTTGTAGAATTTTTGTGAAAAAGCATTGGGTTTTTGATGTTTTATGTTGAAATGCTTGCAAACACACGGTGTTCGGTAGGATTCTGACATGAACGCGCGCGTGTGCTCTTTGTGGTATTTTTTGCAATGGATTATCGCCGTGGACGACAGGACGTCCATGTCGAGAGGAAAAAATAAGAAAAATGTTGATTTTGTATTGTTTTTTACAGGTTAGGATGGGACCACCCGGATGTGGCCCCTATCGGCCGGCCTGAGGGGGGAGTAGGAGTATATTCCAATAAGGAATAAGGATAGGAGTAGGAGTAGGAGTAGGAGTAGGAGTAGGAGTAGGAGTAGCAGTAGGAGTAGGAGTAGGAGTAGTAGTAGTAGTAGTAGTAGTAGTAGTAGTAGTAGTAGTAGTAGTAGGAGGAGGAGGAGGAGGAGGAGGAGGAGGAGGAGGAGGGGGAGGAGGAGGAGGGAGGAGGAAGAGGAGGAGGAGGAGGAGGAGGAGGAGGAGGAGGAGGAGGAGGAGGAGGAGGAGGAGGACGGGTCGCCTAAGACCTTCGGAGAAATCTTCCTGTAGGGGCACGTGCCCGACCGGTGCGCGCGCCAGAGGGGTGGCGGCCGACCGCGCGCCTGGCGCCGTAGCCCCTGGCCGTGGCCCCGCCGCTCGCGATGGACTTGGCGATCGGGTCCAGGTGGTCCTCGAGGAGGCTGTCGAGCCTCCAAGGGCCCAGGGCGAGCGGGAACGCGAGGGGCGGAGTCGTCGTCGTCGTCGTCGTCGTCGTCGTCGTCGTCGTCGTCGTCGTCGTCGTCGTCGACGGCGTCGTCTTCGTCGTCGGCGGCGGCGGCGGCGGCGTCATCGTCCTCGTCCTCACGGTCTGGACTCCGAGGCGCGATCCCGCGGATCGCGGTCGTACGGACACGATCCGCGCGGGGCATACGCGAAACACCACCCCGTGTGGTCGCAGTGGTGGTCGTCGTCGTCGTCATCGCCGTCGTCGTTGATGATGCGATTGGCAGTCGACGCATCCAACCCTGACTTACAAGTCTATCCCCCCTTCACGTTTCCCCTGGGGGATGTCAGACACCAGGCGGAAGATGAGGCAGCGGAGTATGACGGGGGCACGGAGGCCGCAGTCGACGGAGGCGGCACAGTGGGAGGGAAGAGAGGGTGGAACGCGCCTGCCGGCGGCGGCGATTGGGGCGAACAGCCACGGGGCGGGCATTGCACGCATTCGCCCGGGAGCCTCTTCGAAGGCACGGATCATCGGCGCACCCGAACACATGGCTTGCTCTCCCCTGGACCACTCGCCCCGCCGGCGCGGGCCTGGCGCTGGTGGCGGTTCGCGGGGGCGGCGGGGAACTCGCCCGCGGGGGCGGCCTTCTCCCTGCCTCCTCCCTCCCTCCTCCCTCCCTCCCTCCCTCCTCCCTCCTCCCTCCTCCCTCCTCGCTGCTCCCTCCTCCCTCTCCCTCCCTGCCTCGTCCCTCCCTCGTCCCTCCCCCCCTCCTCCTCCCTCCCTCCTCCTCCCTCCCTCGTCCCTCCTCCCTCCTCCCTCCTCGCTGCTCCCTCCCCTCTCCCTCCCTCGCCGCCTCGGAGCTCGGCCAGGGACGGCGACGGCGCAGGCGAAGGGGGGCCCTCGCACCCGGCGCGGCGCCTCTGCCGGGCGAGCCGCGCGGCGCGCTTGCGCCGGCCGAGGTCCGCCAGGCGCGAGGAGAACATGCCCTCGATGAGGCCGTCCAGGTGCTGGCGGCCCTGCGGGGGCACGAGGGGGGCGAGGGGGGCAGGGCTCGAACTGAAGGGGTGTCTTGTGAGCGTGTTTTTTTGGTTCGGCGCTGCGCCTGCGGGGGCGCGCCGACCAGCCATAAGTGGGGGAGCTATGGTCCTTATACCCCTCTGGGGGGGCCCATCGCTTCGACGATCTCTCGAGAGGGGTGTCGGAATTGGTGGGTCCCCCAGGGGGGCAAGGACCACAGCTCCCCCTGTTGTGGCTGGCCGGGCACGATGGGGGCGAGGGGACAGGGCTCGACCTGAAGGAGGTCTTGTGAGCGTGTTTTTTTTTCGGGCGGAAGGGGCGGCAGACGAGCCAAGATCCTCCAAAAGCCAAGTCAGTGGGAGGGGGGGGAGGGAGGGGGGGGGTCTGGCTCCGGACCTCTGCTCAGTGCGACTGTCTGCAGCAGTGCGGCCGATGGGGGAGGGACCTCACCTGCTCGAAACAGGCGCCAAAAACAGCCAAGATCTACTCCATCATGGGCGGGGGGAGGGGTGGTGCGAGGGCCCGCGCCGATCGGCAAAATAATGAATAACAAAACGCTCACCTTCCGTCTTTCGTTATGTTTTTGCTTTCCCTCGTTTTGTCTTCGATCCGCCTTTGCTGCAAAACGAGATCGAAACGAAAACGGCCCACGAGATCGCCAGAGACACCGCTTAGCGCTTAGATCGACCCTGCGAGGAGCGAGGATGGTGGAGGGAGGGGGAGGAGGCGGAAGGAAGGAACCAGAGAGGGAGGCAACTTCTGACGGGCGTTCCCAACATGCAGCTCAGCTTCGGAGAAGCGTCCCGATGCGGCCGCGGTGGCCTGTCCAGGTGCTGGCGGCGCCTGGGAACACGAGGGGCCAGAGTGGGGAGGGATGGGGTGGGGGGCGCGCACCCATCAAAAAGGAAGCAATGTCTAGATCACCCAACTTCGCGCACCGCGCCTTCCGCTGCGAGACGCGCGATCATCTGACTACCTACCAGACCACCCCAACCCAACCCGAAGACCCGAATTTCGGGTTGGGGGGGGTATGGGTTCCATACGTGTTTTTTCGATGTTCCCCGACCCCCCCTCACTGGAAATGGAGGACAAATTGAGGCCTTCGGGTTGGGTTGGGGTGGTTTGGTGGGTGGTGATCATCTTCGTCGCGCCCCCGCGGGTGAGCTATTGCATCGATTGAACTCTGGTAGCGGCCATGGCTGTAAGCTAGCCACCCCGTGCGGGATCGCGGGCCGCTGCAGCGGGACGCCAACCCCCTCGCGGGGGGGCCACAGGCTCGAGGAGGCCAGGGGACCGCCCCCCGACGACGAACGACGACGACGACGACGACGACGACGACGCGGACGCCGACGCCGATGCCGACGACCGACGACGACCGCAGGGATGCGAGAGCAAGCGAAAAGAAAGGATAGAAAAGCGAAGTGGAGCGGAGCGGTCCTCACAGTCCCCCGAAGCGTGGGGCCCAGGGAGATGAGGAAGGACTGGTTGGGGCTGCTTCGTGAGCCCCGAGGCTCGGTTCGAGCATGCACCCGAGAAGGCCCGCGGCCACCTCTCAACGCAGGCACCGCAGGCGGGTTGAAGACATGGGCCCGAGCCTCCCCAGCAGTGCACGCCCGTCCTGACGGAGAAGGGACACGACAAGCGGAGGGGGACAGAAGAAATCAGAGGGAGGAAAAGGGAGGGAGGTGGGGGAAGAGGAGGAGGCAAGGAGACGCGGCATCAGCAGCAGCTTGAAGAGCAGGCTGTTCGTTCTGGCCCGCGAGGCCCCAACTGCAGGACATCTGTGAAGCAATGTGGCGCCATACCCTGGCACCTGGGCGAACCTGGCCAGGCGAGAAAACAAGGACACAACACAAACCCCTTCGCCACAAGCTCGCCCCGCGGACCCCACCCTGAGAGACGGCGCAGCCGGACTGACAACCCGGTAGCCTGAACAACAAAAACCACAAAGTAGAAAACAACACGACTCCCGTCTCACTTGGTGGCCCCATCCAGAGACTCGGGGGGCCACACGGGCAACCCAATAGCATGAGAAAAAACAGCTGGGCAAACTCTTCCAGGAATACTTTCCGAGGAGTGACCGCCTTCGACACAGACAAATGAACACGCAAGATGAGAGCCACACTGCTGACAACAGCGGAAGCAACACTGTCACACCTGGACCCAAGACGGCAATGAACGACTGGAGTTCAGGAACAGATCAGAAATGTCACTAGGACATGATTTGTTCGGTGACGCGTTGGCCAAGGATTTTCCATGCTGGGGTGCTCCCATTGCACAAAACGCCTGGCATCCATGACGCGTGCGCACCGCTTCCAATACATGTCGAACTTAATCTGTGGACACGAAAGCTGGGAAACCAAAGGGGTCTCGTGGTACTGGCTGCCTTGCTTTAAACAGAGGTAGCGCCTGCAATCAACAGTACAATGTTTTATGTTCGCCCGTGTGGGGCCCACACTGCGCTTTAGCATCTCACGTGGTGCAAGCTGTGTTGTCAATACGATGTGTTGTATATTACGTGGCGCACTCTGTGGGGTGCAAACTATGTGGTGTAGTCCACTCTGCTGAACTTGAAGTCGTCATCTCCACTGCTCGCGCAAACATCCCAACCACCCACCCGCAACTTGGTTTGCAAAACCTCTTAGGACCGACTACGACGACACCGACGACAACGACGACGACGACACCGACGACGTCTCCGACGACTGCGACGACGACACCGACGCCGACGCCGACGACGACGAACACGACGACGACGCCACGACGACGAGGGAGGAGGAAGGACGACGACGGCGACAACGACGACAACGACGACAACGACGAGGAGGGAGGACGGCGACGACGCGAACGACGAAGAAGGAGGAACGACGGCGACGCCGACGACGACAACGACAAGGGAGGAGCAAAGACGACGACGACAACGACGACGACGACGACGGCGACGAAATAGGAGGGACGACGACGAGACGCCGACGACGGACGACGACGACGACGAGGGAGGAGGAAGGACGACCACGGCGACAACGACGACGGAAACGACCACGACGACAAAGAGGACGACGACGACGACGAACACGAGGAAAACAAAGGACGACGTAGACGACGACGACGACGCGGGAGGAGGGAGGACGGCGACGACGACGACGACGACGCAAGAGCGCGCGCGCGCACGCTTTTGCTGAAAATGCGTGTTGCGAAACCTTGGGTTTTTGTATGTTTTTTTGGACACACGATTTTGGAATCCTTCCGAAACCGATGGCATTTGAAGGTTTTCGGCATACGCGCGCGACGACGCGCGCGTCTGCACTTCGCCCCATTTGTTGCAGAGGATTCTCGCGACGGCACACGCGCAAGGGCGTTCGACAGATTTCGGCATGCGCGCGCAGCCCGTTAATAGCATTTTGTGAAATGAAAATCTTTGAACAAAAAAACATGGTCTTGTTTCGATGTCGCAAGAGCTCGCGCGGAAACGTTTTGTTAGCAAATCGGTGTTGCGAAACCCGGTGTTTTTGTATGTCTTTTGGGACCTCGATTGCGAAATCCTTCCGGCACCGAAGGTTTTTGAAGGACCTCGGCATGCGCGCGCGACGACGCGCGCGTGCGCACTTCGTCCCATTTGTTGCAAAGGATTTGCGAAAAAACTGTTATGTTAGAACAAGTGTCTTGTACAAAGGAACCTCCGGGGGGGGACCCCGGCTGGCCAGGGATAGTGTAAATTCATAGTTCGGATGGACACGTGGTCTGAATCATATATGATCTACATACCCGAAGGGGGTGTCGATAACGCCGGGGGGGGGGTAGATCCTATTCTGTTTTTAGAAAGGACAATCAACGTGGTGCAACCTACGTGGTGCAATGTATGTGGTGTAAGGTCTGTGGTGTATATGGGCTTGGTGCGGCATACGCGGCGCAATCCATGTGGTGCAATTGGCGTTGCCATCCTCGCGCACGGCCGCCTCCCATGCTCGCGCAATCATCCCCCACCCGCAGACTGGCTTGCAAAACCCACGCGGCGGCGAGTGCGATGACTGCGTGGCGCTGGCTGGCGCATCGCTGCGGCCGCGCTTGCCAGCGCATGCTCGCGCGCCCAGCGGCCAGCGCGACCAACTCGACCGCGGTGGCGCTGACCAATGGGCACTTCCCAACGCGTGTTGCAGGCCGCGCGGACGCGCGGGCACCCCACTGCGAGCCGGTGACTTGGCCAGGCGCGGTATCATGGACACGTCGACAACAGCAGACACGATGATGATAGCATCGACAAAATTGACCATGATGGCGATGACGACGGCAAGACCAACAACGGCGCCGATGCTGATCACGCTGGTGACGATCATGGTGTCCTCGCGGGGACGACAATTTTGAAACAAATTCGACATGCGCGCGCGGCCGACGCGCGCGAGTGGCCCGCAGAGTACTCTTTGACAGAAACCGTACCCCCCCAGCGCTTGCACAAGGGCGTTCGAATGATGTCGATATGCGCGCGCGAAGGGCCCGTTTGGTCGAATGCTTTCCTCTAGACATTGCAAAAGCGCGCAGACTTTTTTCGAACACTGGCCTTGCAAAACCTTGTGTTCGCTAAACGTTTTTCTGAGAGTTCGAGTTTGAACTCCACACGGAACCGGAGTTTGGTTTAAAAGTTTCGGGATGCGCGCGGCGACGCGCACGTGTGCACTTCGGCCACTTTTCAGCAACATTTGATTGATAACAACCGGTTTTTGATAAACGGCTGCGCCCGCATAGCATTCGTTGAGGAAGATGGCGGAGGGTATCGATACCGGCTTGGCTGGGATTATACGGGATCATAATTCAAATGGACGATGGAGCAGAATCGCATGCAAATTGCCATACGAACAGGTTGATGGATAATCTGAAAAAGGGGGAGGTCGATCCTATTTTCTTGGGCATGGAATCTATGTGGTGCATACTCTGGGGTGCAATATATGCGGTGCAACCTCTATTGTGCCATACGCGTGTCCTTATGGTACAATATATGTGGTGCACCTACCCCTGCCGAGCGTGAGGTTGTCAACTCCACTGCGTGCGCAACCACCCCACCCACCCAACCGCAACTTGGTTTCCCTGCACAACCATGCAGCAGCGATTGCGATGACTGCGCGGAGTTGGCTGGCGCATCGCTGCGGCCACGCTAGCGCGCAGGCTCGCAAGCAGAGCGGCCAACCGACGCGGCCGCTGTGGCTCTGACCGCTGGGCGCTCCCCCGCGTCCCGCAGGCCGCGCTGGCGCGGGCAGTTCGGTGCGACTGGGTGACTCGGGCGTGCGCGGGATCATGGGGACGGTTCGACAACGGAAGAAACGATGATGAGCTGGCGATGCTGGTGGCGGTGACGATCATGACGACAGCTGATTCTGAACGCGTTGTGAACGATGACAGTGACGACAACGGTGCCAATGAAGGTGCCGATGCTGATCGCGTCGTTGACGATGATGGCGTCCACGCGTCGGTGATGAAAGTTTTGGGGAAATGTCGACATGCGCGCGCGGCAGACGCGCGCGAGTGGCCCGCAAGGTCTATTTGACAAAGACCGTGCCCCCGCCCCCAAACACGCGCGCAATGGCGTTCGAACGAAGTCGGCATGCGCGCGCGACGGGCGTGTTTGGCCGAATGTGGTGACATTGTTGGAAAGACGACGTTGGCCTTAATGATTCAAAACCGATTGGGGACCACGATCTTGAAACCCGTACGAAGCCAAGCGATTTTGAACAATACCAGGGTGGGCGAACGACGGCGCACAGATTTGCACCTCGTCAATGTTTTAACCGTGGGTTCTTGAAAGCGGGAAATTTGATAAACAAGTGCGCGGTCAAAATACTATTTGACGAACGTGGTGGGGGTGTCAAGCCCGGCCTGTCTAGGATAGAACCCGACCTTATCCCTGAGCGAAGGATGGGGCAGCAGCGTATGTACTTTGCACACCCCCAAGGGGGCTCGATAACCCCAGTGGGGTGTAGAAAGATCCGAAACCCTTCTTGTTAAGGAGAAACACTATGTAGCGCAGCGAATTCCTGCTCGCAATAAACTTCCAGCTCTACTGCTCACGCAACCATCTGACTCACCCACCCGCAAGTTGGTTTGCAAAACCGACGCGACGGCAATTGCGATGACTGCTTGGCGTTGCCTGGTCCATCTCTGCGGCCGCGCTAACCCGCGCATGCTCGCGCGCGAAACGGCCAGCTAGTTTGGCGCGACCGACGCGGCCGCGGTGGCGCTGACCGCTGGGCACTCCAGCGGGCATTTCAGCGCGAGTCGGCGAGTTGGGCGGGTGCGGTATCATGGCAACGTAGACAAAAGAAAACACGACGATGGTAGTAGCGATGCCGGGTACGATAATGATCGGGGATACAAAAGACTCGGGTACGGGGGACTCGGGTTGGCCTGACGGGGACATCATGAAAATGACGAGACACAATCTGGAATTTGACAGGACGTCCCGCTGCAAACATCCCACGACAACTGGACCGTCAAAATCCAGGACGCGCTTGTCAAAAAACTTCGAAGGCGGTAGACCAGCCCAAAGAGCCCGCGAGGAGGCGGCGACAGGCGGCGACGGAGCGAGAAGAAGCCGGCAGCCGGGGCGGCAGACGAGCCCAGATCTTCCAAACGCCAAGTCAGTGATCGTTTTTTTTATTTCGGCGTTTCGAAATCGGGAGAAGGGGGGGAGGAGGGTGAGGGGTCTGGCTCTAGACCTCTGCTTAGTGCAACGGTTTGCAGCAGTGCGTCCTATGGGGAAAAGACTCCACCTGCTCGGAATAGGCGCCAGAAAACAGCCAAGATTCACTCCAGGGGGGGGAGGGGGGGGCCAGAGCACGCACCGATCGGCAAAACAAGTAATAAAAAACAATCACAAGTAAGCACCCACAAATGCAAACACTATTTGGTGCAAGCACCGTCTGGTTCAAGCGCAGCTGCACTGGAAGTCCTAGTGCTGGCGCTGGTAATATGACTTCTGCGCTGCAGCAGCTACAGGGAAAAAAAAACATGACCATCACCCGTCGCAGTAGTAGGGCCAGTCCAGTAGTGCTTGCAACAGACCCGACAGTAGTAGGTAGGACTGGTTGAGGCCATCGTATCAGCAGTAGTGGCATGCAGTGCCTCTTTCGCTGCCTCTCCCTCTGTGCCTCCTCCGCCTCTGCATCTGAGCAGCTTTCGGAGGTCTGCGCGGATTTCCTGGATCGGCACTGGATTCCCCCCCCCCTGGCGCGCAGAACGCGCCAAGGCGGCACCGCCAGTCATGGGTGTCCGGTGCCGATCCAAGAAATCCGCGCGGACCTCCGAAAGTCTACGTTCATGTATATGTTTTACTTTGACATTCCTCCAACTCTTAAACGCCTGAACTACCCCTCCTCTTCCTCCCTCATATCTGCATCCACCATCTCCCCGAGAGGCCTCCCGCACCTCCTCCGCGGTCAGGTTGAGGCCCACTGCGATGTTCGCTGCGACGCCAAACGAGTAGTCGCGCAGCCCTCGGCAAAACAAGGGAAGGGGGGGAATGGGGCAGGGCAAAGCCCTGGTCACCACAGATCGAACAAGAAACAACTGCGCAAATATGGTATGTCGGAATTCCCCGCGCAACTCCGAACACGTATGCATATGTTCTTTTAACATCTGATTCGAAAGACGCGATGGGAATATCGTACTCCTCCTGACCGACCTGGCAAACTCGTTGCCCCCGTCGCCTTTCTCATCCGTTGCCAATCTCTCACGTACAATATCCACTCTTTCGACCCTCGTCCCTCCTCCTCCTTTAAGCCTTTCCTCTTCTGCACTTGCTCGCCACACTTTCCATAAACCTCCTCCCCCTCCTCCACCTCCTCCTCGTTCCCCATCCTCACTTTCTCCAGCTGACCATGGTGAGGTTCACGATGACTGCCGCTGCTACCTGGATGAGAGCCCACACGCTGTTCCCGTGGGTCCCGGGGGCATTATGCGCAGGCTGCCACCTAGGCCTTGCCATCGCTCGGATATTCCATTCCCAGTGCACTGCTTGGCTTCGTGCGTGCTTTTTCCTTGAGGCATTCCAAGATGCTCCAGGATGAACCAGATGAGCAAAGACCGACCGTCCCGGCATTCCAATAGGCCAATCGGCCTACCACGATATGTTCTTAGAACCCAAAAATGTTCGAAAAACAAAAACAATGCTCTTATACAGTCAACCCGACGAATTATAACAAGACAGTCCTAGCCAGAAACGTTCTAAAGAACATTTCGTGCAGACCACAAGAGGTTCTTAGAACATTTTTTGTGGTGAGCCTGTAGGCGAGCCAGGACGTTTCACGCCACTGTTTGAACATATTCTGGCGCCGGACTCGCCGAGAGAAACGCACACGTCCTGAGTATCGTTGAACCGATCCCCATCCACTGCGGCGTGGCCTGGGCCCCACTGGCCGACTTACCCCCCTAGATGGGGATATAAGCCGCTCCCTTCGGGTTCCGAGGGGTGTATCCCCTACTGGGGGTGGTAATTCGGTGGGGGTCTCGATAGATAGATGGATAGAGCGAAGCCGAAACGGCGAACCTGCCTCATGGCCGAGCACTCGGTGTCCCGCCCAGCGGCTCGTAGGGCAACACGTTGATCAGGGACCGACCGTCCTGGCACTGCTATAGTCCTACCACGAAATGTTCTTAGAACCCCAAAATGTTTGAATAACAGAAACAGTGTTCTTAGAACATGAGCCCGATGTGTCAAAACAAGACAGACTCCGCCAAAAATGTCCTGAGAGCATTGCGCGCAGACCACAAGAGGCTCTCAGAACATTGTTTCGTAGGGCTATGGGCCAGCCAGGACGCTTCGTCACTGCTTGAACAACGTTCGGGCCGTGCGAAAGGGGGGATAGCAAAGGGGGGTTTGAGAATCAGCTCACGTAGCTGATATTCCCGGCGCCTCCCGGCGCCAGAGGCGGCTATGCATCGAGGAATGGGCCTCTCGGTGAGGCCGCAACCAGCTGCATGCAGCAAATCTCGTAACCCCCCCTTTCCCAATCCCCCCCTTTCGTCCGGTCCGACACGTGTGCAACATCGGGGGCGGCAAAGAGGGGGGTGTCCAAGAGGGGGGGGTGCAAATCATGACCGGCGGCATGTGCGCGACCCAGCAGGGGGGCCAGGGACGTAATGAAATAAGAAGCGGCGCCACGAAATCAGGGGAGATATCATGGCGCCCGCCATGATATCCACCCCCCCCTAGTCATCACCCCCCTCTTTTCCGCCCCCGACAACACTGGGCCCACACGCCCCTCCGGGCACGGGGATCGGCTCAGCGGCACCGAGCCGCGAGGAGCGCACGCGTCCGGCCCGCGCAGCGCGCGAGGGCGCCCGCGCGGGCGAGCGCGCGGGCGAGCGCGCCGCGGGGGGCCTCGGCCCGTGCGGGGCGGCGGGGGGGGCCCCTCGGAAGGCGCGGCCGCGTGGGCGCTTCTGGGGGCCTCAGCTGGGCGCGAGGGGCAAGGGGGGTGGGCTGGGGGAGCGAAGAATAGCAGAAACAGACACATTCGGAGGTCCGCGCGGATTTCGGATCCGCGCTGGACCCCCTTGGCGGCGCCTCCGGCGCCGGCCCTGGCGCGCTCCGCGCGCCAGGGAGGGGGGTCCAGCGCCGATCCGAGAAATCCGCGCGGACCTCCGAGTTCCTATGTTTATGTCATTGTTCGCTCCCTTAGGGACTGGCATAGGGGGGATGCATCGACCTGGAATCTGCGATACATCGCCGATAGATCAGCGATGGGCCTCCGATGTGAGTCCGCACCTTCCTGGGCAGGTTAAGACTATCGGGCCCCTATCGGCGATCAATGGGCGACTGGGCGATCAGTGGGGCCCAACTGGGCTGGACCTAAACGCTGTTTTTCGACTCTGTTTCGTTTTTGTGTTCCGTCTTGCTCTGCATCTTCCTCTGCATCTTCCCTGCTAGAAAGCGAAGAACAAAACGCGGCTGAAGTCCAGAAAACAGCGTTGAGGTCCAGCCCTGGGGCCCAACTGGGCGCCTGACCAGGCGCACCGGCTCCAAGTGGAATGCGCGGCGTGCCCGCGACGGCTCCGCTCCGCGCATGCGGCGGCGCCGAGCCTCGGCAACCTCCCTGTGGACCCCGCTCAGACGGCACCTGGGGGGCAACTGCTCAACTACAGCCGGGCCCAGGACGGAATAGCATCAGCCGGCCAAGATACGCAGAACATCCAAAGGCACCCTCCCCAGGATGCTTAAGATTATCCAACAAACACAAAAAAACATGACGGTACCCTCCCCGAACCGACCACGACCTTCTACCTCAAGACGAGCGCGTTCCACTACTCGCAAAGTGACTACTCGCAAATGGCCTGGATCCACCGCGGAGGATCTACGATACATTAAAATCAACGCAGACATGTGTTTTTCGGACGTTTGCGAGTAGGCACTTTGCGACTGGTGGAACGCGCTCGGTGAACCTGGGTCCGACCCTACCGCGCCGCCGAGCTTGGCGGCGCGCGGGTTGGAGGTACGGTGGGGGGGGGGGGGCTTCTTAGAAGGAAGCTGCTTCTCAGAAGGCGCCGGCTCTACATCTATCGATAAGGCCCGCGCCTTCTCAGAAGCAGGGGTGCTTCTAAGAAGCCCTCTCCCCTCCCCCCACCCCCCTCTCGGGTCGGGCGAAAGGGGGGGATAGCAAAGGGGGGGTTGAGAATCAGCTCACGTAGCTGATTTTCCCGGCGCCTCCCGGCGCCGGAGGTGGCCATGTATCGAGGAATGGGCCCCTCGGTGAGGCCGAAACCAGCTGCATGCAGCAAATTTCGTAACCCCCCCTTTCCCAATCCCCCCCTTTCGCCCGGCCCGACCCTCTGCGCGTGGCTGAAGAGCGGCGCTGCCAGACTCAGACGCACCCGAGAGGCGCAACGGCTCCCCCCCGCGCTCGCGAGGCCGCCTGCGCTGCCCACGGCCGCTGCCGCCCGCTGCTGCCCGGCCCCTCGTCGGCCCGCCACGGGCGCGCTGGGCGCAGCGACCGGGCCCCGAAGACGGCGCTCGGAGGGCGAGCAAGGGCAGGATTGGAAGCCTGGATGTTTTTCCCTACCTAGGCTCTGCCTAGAAGGGTTCTTACTCTCTAGCTTAAAGGGGCCGGGCAGTGGAAAGCGCCCCGGGCGGTTCCCCCAGTCCCCTGGGAGCGGTTCCCCCCAGTCCCCTGGGAGCTTTAGCTTAGCTTTAGCTTTAGCCCCGAAGACGGCGTTCGGAGGGCGAGCAGGGGTAGGATCGGAAGCCTGGATGTTTTTTGTTTGCAGGGCCCTCGACCTGCAAGTCACCGGCAACAGCATTATTGCTCGTGGCCGACAGGGCCGCACGCTCCAGCGGCCCCCCTGTGGTGGGCACCGCGGCCAGCTGGAGCGGAAGAGGCGGACCTCCACGAGCAGGGTTAGGGAAACAAAAAATGACATAAACATAAAAGCTCGGAGGTCCGCGCGGATTTCTCGGATCGGCGCTGGGGCCCCCCAGCGGCGCCTCCGGCGCCGCCCCTGGCGCGCCAATCCGAGAAATCCGCGCGGACCTCCGAGTTTTTCTGTTTATGCCACTGTTTGTTCCCCTGAGGGCGCACCCGCAGCTGAAGACCTGCGCCGGCCCACTGCTGGCGCCTCCTGCCCTGCGCGCAGCCGTCCTACTCCGGCAGGAGGCAGCGGCCCCTCAGCCCTCGCCCTTGCCGTCGACGGTCAGCGTGGCGGGCCCGCCGGCACGGACGGCGCCAGGACGCCCTGCGGCGCTGGCCGGCGGCGGGGGCTCGCCGCCGCAGCCGCACGCCGCCCAGAAGTCAGCCACGCCGATGGCCATGCGGCAGCCCTGGGCGCCGAACTTGCTCCACAGGCCCGTCATCTGGCTCGGTTCGCCGGCGTGCTCCACGGTCCAGTGGCGCGCGCAGTGGCGGTCCCACGGGAAGCCCTCGAGCATGTCCAGGCCGCGGCTCCGTGCAGAAATGGAGACGTAATCAATCACAGGCGGCGCCTCCACCAAGGTAAGCAAATCGTCAATCCCGATCGTCGTGGCCTTGCCCTCCGGGCACGACGATGCGTTCTTCCCGCACGCGGGCAGGTCCACGAGCTCCCCGCCCTTCGAGCCGATCGGCCGCGACACCCAGCCGCACCCGCGCTCCTCGTAGGGGCGCGTGTCGGGGTCCACGCAGACGCCAGACCAGCCGCGCTGCTCCAGCAGCCTGGTATTCGACAGGCCGGCGTGGTGGGTGGCGCCGATGTCTATGAAGTACCCCGCGCTCCCGGCGCTCTGCTCCAGGACCCACAGGTCGGCGCCGGACGGGCTCCACCGCTGGGGCCTCGTCCACCTCTCCACCAGGAGGGACCGCGCGAGGACCCCGACGAGGACCGTGGCGGTGGCCAGCAGCAGGGATCCGCCGGCCCACAGGACGGCCTCCTGCAGCCGTGCCTCTGCGCCCCCACGGGCGCCGCCCTTCCCGCAGGCGGCGTCCTTGCGGTGGTAGTGGCGCCGAGGAGCCGCGGTGGGCGTGCCCGCAGCTGGAGTGCTCATCATGGCGGCAGCGAAGGCGCCCGCGCCGCCCGCGGGGGTAACCCCGGGTTTCTCTGTGGACGCTTCTCGGGTCGGGCGAAAGGGGGGATAGCAAAAGGGGGGTTTGAGAATCAGCTCACGTAGCTGATTTTCCCGGCGCCTCCCGGCGCCGGAGGCGGCTATGTGTCGAGGAATGGGCCCCTCGGTGAAGCCGAAACCAGCTGCATGCAGCAAATTTCGTAACCCCCCCTTTCCCAATCCCCCCCTTTCGCCCGGCCCGAGTTTCCCGAAGGAATTGCTACGAAGACGGAGGCCCTTGGGCCGAACGCGAGCCCAGACGCTCTTGAGCCAACAGGGATGCGGAAGCACTGGAAGCCCAGAACTGGGCACCGACATCAACACAAGGGGGCTGCCTCCACAGGGGGGAGACGATACCAGATTTCGGTGTTGGTGGTAATATTTCGGTCACCCTGAAACCAGAATATTGCCACCATCAGTGACATCGGGATCTTCTTCCCTCGGTGGAGGCACACCGCCGATATTGGTGTTGGTGTCAACCTCTAGGCTGGCCATAGGATAGCAAAGGGCAGGGTGGAGAATCAGCTCACGTAGCTGGTTTTCCTGGCGCCTCCTGGCGCCAGGAGGCGCCAGTGCATCGAGGCATGGGCCTGGCGGCAGGGCGCAAACCACCTGCATGCAGCAGATGTCGTAACCCCCTGCTCCCGTATCCTACCCTCTCGTCCAGCGCGAGGCATGTCTTGCGACGCCACTTGCCCATGCTTCGTCGCCCGCTGGGGCGGTCCCCTGGCGCCAGCGCCGTCTCACGGGTGGCGGACGTACAGTCGGGGCCCTGAAGAAGAAACCCTTTTGGTTGGGGAGGGGCTCCGTGTTCCTTAAGTGTTTCACATATTGCCTCAAGTTATCCTTATGTTTTCGATCGGAAGTCGAAGTTTAACTTATGGAAAAAAGGGGCCTCGTTCCTTATTTAGGGTTCCTTAGGTCAGCGCCCCGACTGTATCCATATCCACGCCCTCGCGGTTTGTGTTCCGGGGCGGCGCGGTCCCGCAGAAGGCGTTCTCGTGCGCATGCGCTCCGACCGCGGGGCATCCGCGACAGGAGCGCCCCGCATCCGCGGGGTCGCGGCCCAGAGGAAAGGTGCACATTTACCGCACCACGTCTGGAATCCCTTCAAGCGCCGCTCCAGCGCGGTGCGGTGCACACGAGGCGCTCGTGGCCCCTGGCGAACATTCGCCCCAAGAGCTGACGCCCGCGAGGGCGCTCTTCCCCGCCGCCTGCCCCGGCCCGCGGAGGCGGTGCCGCAAGCAGCGGTGCGGCGAAGCCGCGTGCGCTGAAGGGCCCGACTGGCTCTGCACTGAGGGGACCCCCCCGGGCCACGAGCAGTCTCCAGCGAATGGCATCGCCAAGCGGCTGCCCGAGAATGTGCTGCACCATGATAACAGTGCTGACCTCTCCCTGCTTGAGGCGTGCAGCGCAAGCGCAGGTGCCGCAGGGGCGCGACGGGACGGTGAGCTTCCTCGCGCGGAGCAGCGACAGTGCGGTGCGGCGGTCGAGATTCGCAGCCCTCAGAGTCCACAGCCTCCCGTAAAGCGCCCCCAAAGCGCCGACAAGGCTGGCGGCCTCCATCCCCCATCTCCTCCTCCTCCCTCCGTCCTGCCCCAACTTCACTTCTTCTCCTCCTCCTCCTGGCCAGTCCCTCATCTGCGCTTCGGCTTCTGCTTCATTGGTGCTGGAGGCCGTAGCCAGAGTCATCTCAATTTACTGGAATCGCAGTTACCTTGTCTTAGCACAGCCACATGTGGCCTCAGCGATCACGCTTGCCGCTTACCCACCACGCTGACCCGAAGCCAAGTGAACAGGTCGAGACAAGTAGCTACGCTGCGCTTCTGATCACCTTGGGCTCATGAGAGAGGCCTCCGAGATCTATACAGGAATTTCGCGCTCGATGCTGAGTCAGACAGTGGCTGTCCTTGATCAAGACGAGTGCGTGGATACCGAGGCAAGTGCGCCCTCGTCGTATTCCCCCTGATCGCGCCCCTCCTCCCGCCTTCCCCATCCTTTTCGTCCTTCTCCTCAACCCACCTCAACTTCCCCTGAATGTCCCCGTCCTCTTCCTGATCCGTCTCCTCTTCCACTGCCAGGCTGGCTGCGAAACCCTAACATGTTCCAACCTGGTGGAACCATCCACCTGCTCCAACAAACTCGAACTGCCCCTGCCTCCTGACGGGACGGAATCGCATCCTGGCAAATTTGTCGACATCATCGTCGCCCTCTTCCTATTACGCTTCCTCCTCCTGCCATAAGTTCTGCACATCGTCCTCTTCATGTGTTTTTCCCATCCTCCGCCTCATCCTCTTACGTGCGGCCCCCGAACGCGCCGTGCATCAACGGTTCGCCCTCAATGCCGTCCGACGCGAGCCACTCATCCACCAAGCGAGCAGCGGCCATCCGAAGGTCCTTCACCCACTCTTCCCTCGCTTCTGGAAATCCCCAGAAAGGAACGACGCGATGAGCACAATCGACACTCGTCATGCGAGGATATGTGAGGATCATGACGGTCGTATCTCAAGGCGCACACGGTCAAACACCAAGGGACACGTTTACGACCACGGCACTCGCACTCACATATCGAAGTTACGAATCCCTGATGACTCATGATGGCAACGGTACGTCTGAAGGGCAATCAATGCATACCCTATCACGTTCAAAACGATCTGCGCTGCTCCCTTTGCTGCTGTACAACATGCACCTTTGCACATTACGAAGTTGAAGAATTTGCCACGATGCTTCCAAGGTCTTGCACGGGCATGTGAGCTTGAACGGGCGAGCGCAAACGCACACACACACTCACATTGAAAGGTTGACTCTGACATGCGCAAACGATCACACGCACCCACACACGCGAAAGCACAAGGGCCAGAAACACCGCACACACGCACAAAGCCCACACAGACACACACACACACCACACACACCACACACACACACCAAACACACACCACACACATCACACACACGCATAAAAAACGCAGACACGCACACACGCACACCACACACACACACACACACACACACGCACACGCACAAAAGCACACACGCGCACACACACACACACACACACACGCACACACGCACACACGCACACGCAAACACGCACACGCACACGCACACACGCACACGCACAAACACGCATGCACGCACACACGCACACACGCACACACGCACACACACACGCACAAACACACACACGCACACGCACACACGCACACGCACACGCACACACGCACGCACACACGCACGCACGCACGCGCACGCACACGCACACGCACACGCACACACGCAATCACACACGCACGCACGCACGCACGCACGCACGCGTGCACGCCACACGCTCCACGCACCCCGACCGAACATATTCTCTCCTCCTCCGCGGCGGCGAAACAGGGGCCAGTCCTCGAGTGACAGGGTGCACCAACTCAGACTGCAGTCGCCCGAAGGCCGATCCCGTTCAAACAGAAGCCGCGTCCTCCCTGGCCAGGGGCAAAGGGCAGGCCGAGGTGCGCCGCGCAGGAAAAATGACCACGAGAGGGCCATGCAGAGGAGCTGCCCTTCGCGAGCGCACGGCGGCGGTGAGAGAACACACACTCACGTACTCACTGCACACACATTCACGTACTCACTGCACACACACATACCGCACACCGCGAACACGTACAAACACGCGGACACACACACACACACACATCCATAAACACTTACACACACACACACCCACACACACACACACACACGCACGCACGCACGCACGCAAGCACGCACCACAAGCAGCCCGAAAACCACACGGCAAGCGTTTGCCCCTGCTTCCCTCCGCCGTCGCGGGAGCAAACGCCTGCCTGGAACTACTGGGCCGCAAGAAGTGACTTGCGCCGGGACGTTGTCCGGTGCGCTCGGACGTCGCCGCGCTTCCAGGGATCCAACCGCTACGGGTGCGAGGGCGGCAGAGGCAACGAGAACACACACACACACAGAAACGTACACACAAATACACACACGCGCGCGCACACACACACACCCGCACGCACGCCTTCCGCACACGATGTACACGCGCACTTGATTCAGAAGCGCAGGCGAGTCCTATGGCGAAGCGCAGAGAAGAGGAGGGCCCCCCCAAACATCTCCCTTGCCATTCACCCTCTCCCGCCCTCCCACCCCTAGCGGTCCGGCCACTCGGACAGCACAGCCTCCCTGTGGATGAGGTCCGGAAGCGCCAGGTCCTCGCCCTCTCCTGCGGGCGTCATCTTCGTCGTCGCCGCCGCGCCCTCTGCCGCCGTCGAATTTGCCGCCGCTGCCACTAACGTCGTTGTCGTGATCATGGTCGTGGTGATTGTCGTCGATCTTGTCGTCGTCAACGTCGTCACCTCCCCCCGCATCTTCACCATCCTGGAGCACCTCCTGACAATTTGCGTCACTCTGTGGGGTGCTAAGGGCCCTGTGGCCCAGCATCTGTCGACTTAGGAAATTCCTGCTGGTGATGTACCCTCATCTCCTGTTACGGTGGATGCCCTGAGACGAGGCTGCAAGAAATATTCCAAGATGTGTGGGCGTGGATGGGAGGGGTTGCATCCTAGGTGGGTGCTCGATCTGGGAGACATACATATAGCCAGTCTAGTCGACATCCTGCACAGGTTTTAGCAGTTGCCCCAGGATCCAATGTCATCTATGACGCATCATGGCGAGCGTTGGCTTTCTCGACAGGAGCCAAAAACAGATGGCGGCGTGCGCCCCATCGGCATCAAAGCCTTCTTTGTGCGCCTGTGGGCTGGGGTCTGACAGCCCTTGTTCAACGCGATCTTGCGAGGTGTTTCTGCTGGGGTGTCCACGATGGAAACACGTGCGAGAGAGCGGGGTGGGTGCACAATCTGCTAGGAGGTTCTGCAAAGGTGTAGGATTTGAGCGGTTCAGCGTTACTTGACCTTCTCGAATGTCTACGAAAATCTAATGCGTGA